AGCTGATACTGCTGTGAAGTTGAAGATGGCTCTTTATCCTTTTGTCCATCATCCTACCAATTTCATTAAATGACTGACGCAAAAAATGAAACATTTCAAGATTTTAACATTTCCTTTTTTGTGCAGAATAACTAATGAAAAATCTAAAACTGTTTTGGTACATCATTACTGGCCTGGAAACAAATCAGTATGGACTATTAATCTTAAAATATTCAAGGACAAGACAGCAATAGTGTCCTTCACCACTGGGCCTCCCAAGTCTGACCTCAGAGTAGTTGACACAAGTGTCGTTGGCTCTGAAGCAGTGTAATGACAGTGGGCCTTTGGGTGAAGCAGGAAACATCTTGGGCTAGGCAGAAAAGAAAAATATGGCACATCACATCATGCCTTTAATGTGGGAGAAAAACAGATGTAATTTTAAGATATTTCTTAGGAAACTATTTTCAAATGTTTTTCAATGTCTTTATTTGTGGACTAAATTCATCAGGCACAAATGAGTTAGAGTGGCTGGGTTTGAACCTCGGATAAAAGCATTGTGCTTTGAGTTTGTATGTTCTGAGGTCAGATTTTTCCTACCATCAAAAATAAATGAAATCTCTCAGAAATGTGCCCTTCACCAATGCTATTGGCCCTCTGTGACTTCCCACTGCTCTTAATATGGGGATCAATAAAGATGTTCTGAGTAACGTTGCCAAAAGTGGCCTAAAAAATCCAAGACCAGAAACTCGGGTAGGTTAGATAAGTCTCTATAAAAAGGCCTTTATTTTACAAGGTTTAAGAGATTAAAAATACACCAATGTGTGCCAGCTTACACCTTGTTCAGGTGTAGAGATACAAAGATACAAATCTATCCATATCCTTTTTATGTGAGGGGTCTTTACACTTGACCTATTGAGTGTTAACTATAAGATTACAAATGAATAAAGGGTAAAAAGAGTGACGCATGTGGCGGTAATCACTAGGCTTGACTACAAAGTCTCTAAAAAATAAACAAACATAGCTAAAAAAAGTTGAACCCGCAGTCATGTTTGTTTGAATTTTCACTCTCGAACAGAGTTTAAAAAAAATCCTGAAAAAACATCAGACACCACATTTTCTTTCATCGTAGGGTTTTATAAATTAGTAAATCGACTCCTTCCTTGTTTATTAGGTGATTAAATCACAACTGCAGAGACCTCATACTGGATGGTTTTTGAACTGAAACATGACATTCTTTGAATGCATTTTTTAGCATGTTTCATCAAAAGACATGGCCAGTATGAGGCTGCTGTACCTCTGAAGTGGTTTCTGTTTTGACAAGTAAACAACCAGTCAGAACCTTTAACGCACTGGATGTCAGCTGCTGAATCAAACACGTTCTTGTTTCCAGACTTTGATGTTATTGCACTTCCGCCCCAATTAGTATGGAGCTACAACAGTACAAAACATGGCAGCCCATCTGTTTGCATAGCCTGTCTGTGTTTGACTGGAGAGGAGTTGTGTGAGTGCAAACCAGAAAGGAGGGGGGATACATTATGATTTTTTTGGAACAAGGTGAAGAAAAATCCTCATTTATGGGACTCAGAAGCACCACATTGTGCTTCAAATATTCAAGGGGGTTTTACCTTCTGTGTGGGTAAGATAGCAGCTGATTAGGTTTATCCTTTAGAGGAGAGAGCAACTTTGATACCGAACAACAGAACAGGGGGTTAAACTTTTAACAGATGAATAGGCAAATCAGATGTACCGAGTCTGGAATCTTTGAGTGGTGAGAAACCTGACTGCATGGCAATTATTAATCCTCTTAACGAGCTGAATGTAAAGTGAAGCCCAGAGGAGCCGGCCGCGGCCTTATCTATGACAAACGGCTGAGCATCCTAATTGCACTGAGAGATCTGACAGGATAAATTTATACCAGAAACGTGACTCATCTGACGTGCAGGCAGGAGTGAGAGGATGAAACAAGTGGGAGTGCCAGCCCTTCTTTAAAAATTCATTTATTTCTGTACAGTATAGATCCAGAAATATAAAGCAGTTCACGGCACATGAATCACAAGTTCACAAGTGGCTGTATTTTAGGGCAATAAGGGTTAACTTTACCAGCAGCTTTCTGCAAATAAAGTATAATGCAATAAAATAGAAATACCCAAGCCAAGGTCACTTTTTTCATGCAATGCTGTTATTCTTTATATTTCTATTGGGCAGAAGTATTCAGAACATCTACCTTAATAAAAGTAATACAACAGAGTGCTAGAATACTATTCATACATGACGTCGAGGGAATTTACAGCCTTGGCAGAGGTATGTGGACTGCTTTTGTTGATTGAAATTATAATTTATTTCTCAAATACAATAAAACAGAAGTCTAAGGCAGTACGCAATTTAAGTACAAACCTGTGTATCATCATTTAATATAATATTTTAATAAGTGGACTTCTCCTTTTAGCCACTCGTGGTGAGTGGTTTCATAAGGTCTGTGCATAACATTTCACACTGTGAACAAGAAACCTGTGACAGTTTTACAGTGGTTAACACCATATCAGAGTAACAAAATTATCAAGTAAATAAATAGCTACGTATCAACAGTAACATTGTGCCTAGAATCTGCCAGAGCCAGTCACTATCTCTTCTTTTACCACTGGGAATACTTTGGACTTTAATTTCCACACCTGTTCCAAGTGTTCCTTCAACCTCTCCTACGTCATGCTTTGTCTTAGCTTGGATTGCCACATGAATCACAACTGCTGTCTTCTGTTCCCCCTCAACCAAAACTGTGTCTGGTTGGCTGGCCAGCAGCTGTCTGTCTGTCTGTCTGGAACATGAAATCCCAAAGGACCTTAGCCCTGTTGTTCTCAGCCACTTTCAAAGGTGTTTCCTACTGGGAATTGGGGACTTCTAATCCATGTGGCGCAGATGTTGCTGTACACTATTCCGGCTGCTCGGCTATGCCTCTCAGTAGGTGCTGTCCCAGCTTGAATCTTACATTCTGCTACTGTGTGTTGGATTGTCTGCCTGTCACTTAGATCCTCTGAGCCTGGTGTTTCTTACAGCTTGATCTTGTACTGCCCCAGTCAGAGGATCTGTGCTGTCCTTTCGGTCACCTGTTTTCAGCCACTGTGTTTTTCTTAATGTAAGCCACTTGGTTTTCTAAGATATTTCCTTCCCCTCTTGCTCATCACCATCCGTCTTCAGCTGCCTAAGGCGCTCTGGTAGCAGTTCATCTTGGGGGGTCATCTTCCTGATGCATTTGTGAATGCTCCTTGTTTCATCCTGGATCATGGCTGTGATGCTTACTAATCCTCACACTCCCTTGCTTCATTGCTCACAAAGCCTTAGGGTGCTGGCCTTGGTCGGACCCCTGCTTTGTGAGGAGTTTTGTGTCTTGACATTAGTGGCATCTCTCTCCTCAGGTGGCCATCTTATTATTGTGTACAAGCAGGATGAGTTTAGGACCCAGTGATTTTTAGTGTGTGTTTGTTTCATAAATGAAAAAAGACAGCACGCCACATTGTGAAGCAGGAGTGTCATCTCCTTATTGATGGAGATGATAAGATGTGATAACGGGATTAAGCGGAAATTACCTCAGATTTAAAAAGATCTTGTGCGCGAGTGCATGTTCTGTGATATCAGAAGGCGAGATTAAACTGTCAGCTGTGGGTGAAAACATAAGCACAACAAGTCTCATTAAAATATAAGAACAAACAATAAAGGTTCCCTGCAAGAAAGCCGCCTGTACAGTAAATCACATCCAGCTGGTGATTATATGAGGGAGTTAAAGCCGTTTAAGAAGGACAGACAGTTTGGGGTAGATTCCATTACAGGAGCAACTCTTATATACTGTCCACAGATTGGCTGTGTGTCAACCAACAAGGTGAAAGCAAGGAGGGAGCCATCATCTCAGATATTTCCACTTGCAAGTAAATGAGGGCACAAAGCCTGATGATTTAACCTCATTCATGGAGAAAAGAAGCCAAGATTTCAAACAACGCAGGAAATTAAACAATTAAACCACCAGATTGCAGGAAACTCTTGCTAATCCAGAATTTTTGGAAAGATTTTCAGTTTCTGAACTCCCGCTGATATTACCACCTCCCACACAGCCCCCACCTGCTTTGCCCTGGAGGCTTATCAGGATGCAGCAAGCATCTTCTGCAGGATTTCTGTCACTGGCAGGCAGTACTCCTGTATTCTGACCCTCCCCGCAATCTACTGATTCGCAGGCTGTTGCTCACACAAAGACACAAATGCCAGCAGGAAATGAGCATCTTTTTTCTTAAAAAAACAAACTTGTTTGATTAATTTGTCTTGTTGGCAGGGCTAACAAAAAACAATAAAACCATCAGGGATAAAAGGCAAAATCATGTTTCAGACATTTAAAACAAGAAAAAAAATGTCATCATATATTGTAGGTGATACGAGCTTTAACACTTGTATATTAATGTGTGGTTACCAGCTGAGGTTTCTACTCTGAATAATAGAAAAAAATGAGTGCTTGCTCTCATTCGATGAACAATGCTGATATGCGGTTCTGCACTTAAAGAAATCATGAAAAAATTATAAAGCAAAAGTAAACTTCTCGTCCTCGACTAACCCCTGACGTCTCGTAGCAGTGGACCGAGCAGCCAAATGAGTACAGGACATGATTTCTGAGGCAGACCGTGGTTTAGGTGGTACTGGGCTCTAATATTCACAGAGTCATGCATCACCAAGCTGCTTTTCTAATATAACTGTGGCAGTTGGCAGCACCAGATGTACAGTAGAATACTGCTGGCTGACTGACAATCTTGATAAAACTTGTATCGGCTGTGCAGGATATTTCTCATCCATCCTTTTGTCATACAGCAGCTGAATCTGTAATCATATTTCAAGAGTACTGTGCTCCAAAATACCAGTGTTGTGGCTTGAAGCTGTTAAAATGCAGCACAAATGAATGGCTGCCGTAGATAAGCAATATCAGTCTTGCCCCCAAACTCTTTCATAATGCTGATTTAATTCCAAGAAAAATGTTGTATGAAGCAAAACACAAGATAACATGTCGATTGGGGAAATAGAGATAGCAAAATGCCTTGGATGGAGTGCAGAATGCTTAATCAGATTTTCTAAGTGCAGCTCATGATTAAAAAATGAACATTTAAACAGTAACTACAGCTGGAAAATACACTGCTTTGTTTCTGTTTGCCTGTTCAAGCAAAGGAACAAAGAAACAACTAAATTCAGTGAAGAAAACAAACAATTTTCCAAAACGATATCTGCATTTTATTTATGCTTTGATAACTAAATAGACCAGGCTATTACCTGGAAAATGGAGACAGGAAAATCAGGCGCTGCTGAGTGTTTTATATGAAAGAAAGAAACAATCAAAAACAGTCGGATCAACACGATATTAATAATATGACAATATATCAAGAAGAATAGTACGTTTTCTTTTACATCACCTCTACATACTGGCGGTATTGTGCTTTGATAAGACTTTTGCAACTAACACAGATACAGAAAAAAAAATGTAACAACCCCACACAAGGATTTTAGCAATCAATCATTAGGAAACAAAACAAAGAAACAAAGAACAGAAAAACCCTTCTCACTTCATCCCGTGGTCACATGTGAAAATGAAAAAGAAGTGAAAGAATGAAAAAACAAAACAAAATCATAAGAAATGAAATTAGGTGCAGCTCATCCATTTGTGCAATCAACAAAACACTCAACATACCTAATGTTGCAACACTGTCCCTTCACACACACAAACGCACACAGGAATATATGGCATGTATCATTGTCATGTTTCTGTAAATGAGGCAGACTTGGTAAATATAATGATTAAATGTATATAAGTCTATATATAAAAAAAAAAATCAATCAAAATTAGAAATGATATGAAAAAAAACATGCACTGGACAAATACAAGCATGCATTTACATGATGAGACCTGAAATCTTCACCAGTACATTAAATGGTAGATGATGCACCTCTACCACCGTCGCCACCTCCACTTACATCGCAACCCCCTGAAAGTATTTCCTGCACACGCAACTACACTCATTGTGAACAAAGATACATTCGCAAACAAAGTACACAGAGTCCAGCGGTTGTTTTATGAAGCACTGCAACAGTTCTAGATGTTGCTACATGTGGAGTAAGCAGTATGAATATTCGTCACACTAGCAAGCCGGTGTTGTGTGAAACCATCATGTGTTGCTGTGCTATATAAAGGCATGGGGGCTCTTTTTTCTGATCTACTGTCTATGGTGAGATAACTGTACATTTTCCCTTATTTATTTCTTTATTTTTTTGTCTTTTGAAAGAGAGGTCCATGTTGGCAAGGTTTCTCCTTTTCGGCAGTAATCCAGAGGAAAAACACAGAAGAGTGCTGCATGAAATGTTCTCCGGAAAAATTACAGATTTTTTTTTTTTTTAAACATTTAGGACTTCCTCTGACAAATTCTTTGTCACGATTGATTCGTCCATTTTCCTCAGTTTTCATGTAAAAAGTGCATCTGTTAGATTAGTATCAGTTCCTCGCCCTCCCTGCGTTGGACAGTTGTCGTTGTATGGTGGCTTTGGTTGCATAACACACACTTTCACCTGGGTTCTGCTCAGCAAGTGAAGTCTTCAAAGTTACCCTGGCCTGGATGATGAGGTAGCATATTGCCAGGATACGTTGATGGTGTACGCAGGTTCTCACAAGGAGCCTGAGAGAGAAATGGGATGAGAGAGGCAGACAGTCAAAAGGCAGGTAAGAGAAATGATCAGCAGAAGATATAGCATTGAGATCGAAGGAGCATAAATGTGCAAGAAAACCTAAATAAAAAGCTCATAAACACTTTCACAGGAAAACATGACATGAGCAACAATTCGGGCTGAGATGAGTGAGGAAATAAATTCTTCAGGAATACTTTGAAAAATGCTGAAAATAATGGTGAACAGAAAAGGAGAGGACTACAAAGTGAAGATCAGCTGTGGAGAATATCTTTCCCTTCTCTGTCTGAGGTCTGACTTACAATTAAAGTGAACTGGCTTCATTTACACTTGGAAATAAGTGAGCTGTCACACCTTCCAAAGCTTTAATTCCGGCCTGTCCCTGCTGGTGCTGTCCCCCAGCTTTGATTAAATTCCAGCCACTTTCCGCTCTCCTACTTCTCCCTCTCAATTTTCTCCCCCTCTCATCCCAATCACTTTTTCACTCTCTACCGTGTCTCTCAAGTCCCCCCACCCAAACTTCCTCCATCTCTATCTCTTCTCTCTCATTTGCTCGTCTTCCTACCACCACCCCACCACCTCCTTGATCTCGACTCCAGTTGAGAGCAGTGAAGACAAAGCAGAGAGTGTGCCCCTGTCAACGCAATGCCGTCTGACACAGTGAAAGTACTTAACAGCACACTACTGACATGGTGTTTCACATCATCCAGGCTCAGCACAGCTCCCCGGTCATTGTTTTTGCGGCCTTTGTGTTTCTTCTTCATGCACCGGCACACCTTGTATTTGATCACCTGAAAATAGACGAGCACACCTGTTACCAAAAAGTACTTTCTTGCTTCTGGTGAGCATCCAAGTGTTCTGTTTTTGGTTCATCATAGTTCAAAACCACATACTTGACTGGAATAGAAATGTGATTTGTTTTATGTATCTATAAATATGCTTGCGCGGTGACCCTGCACATGAGCAGTAGCTGCTTTGCTCTGCCCATCTCTCTCTCTCTCACACACATTTCTAATCAAGGACTAACAGACACACACATAAAAACACTTAGTACTTCAGTTGTAAGAGAAGGGAGGAAGGAAGTGTGGAGCACAGAGTTACTCTAATGAGAGTGGACATAGACATCCTGACTAATCTAAAATATAATACATTCAAAATGTTAATGTATTCAGCGTTGCTACTGCTAAGATGTGAGTGCCGTGCAGAAATGCAGAAATGGGCTGCAGGGTTGTGAGGGACAGAGCGTTCGTCATGCTCGCTAAAACACGTCCTTGTGCGCATGGTAACACTGTGTGAAAAATGAAATTTTGCCAGCAAGTCATTCTATTTTGCTGGAGTAGCACAGATGACCATAAAAACACAATAGATATTCGTTTTTTACCTCATATAGATAGTCAATGAGTTCAAGAATGGTGAGGATGCTGGCCCCAATGAAGAGACCCATCTGACCACCAATATCACCTGCAAAGAAAAATAAGGAAGCAAAACTTGTACCTGAATACATTCACGAAACACAGGTCAGCTTTCACACACACTTTGCGTCTTTTTTTACATCTAAAAGGTGAGAAATGTAACAGCAAATATAGACGTTTGCAAATATGCAGTTAAAAAGATTAAAGAGACACTTTTGTGTCTCTTCTGGGACCTGAACACCTCATAAAAAATGCAAGCACTTGCGCTACTGTCATTTTAGATACAAAGCAACTGTCATGCTGCATACTGCACATTATCTCTTCCTAAGAAAACACTTGACAGCCATTTCCTTACCCAGAAGGCCTGCCAATTCATAGGCTTTCTTTTGTTCGATGGTTTCGTAGTTCAGCGCTTCAAAGTAGATATCCAAAACCAGAATGTTATCACTGTTAACAGAAAGGGAAGCAGGCAGTTTTAATTCACATATTTAAAACTAACAGTTTACATTTCAAACACGTTTCTATCAGTGCGTCTTCAGGCAGAGGAGGTGATTGGTGAGTCTGCCACTTCCTGCAGATAACAGAGAAGATGCGTTAAGTTGAGCAAATAACCTGTCACCACTTACTAATTTCCCCTATGTGGGTCTGCCCATTGAGGAATACAAGGGAAATGATGGTAGCTGTTTGATTTCATACTGTGTTAAAGTCTAAAACTCAGGACTTCAGCATAAAGAAGAAGAAAGGGGATTAGTTTAAAGGCCCAGGGCAAGACAGACTATTATTGTAATTCTTAAATATCCTCTCTCTGGGTGAAGTCAGACTTTACACCCCACTGGGGTTGGGATCAAAACCACAGCTTGACTTTGTAGTTTTCCTTTTTTGGTACATGATTTTCAGTTTTATACCTTAAAATACAAGTCCTGCATTATAAGACAAGTGATAAGCTGCCAGTCCTAAGATCAACTCTGCTGAAGCCAAGGGCTCATTTTAAATGACTCGATGCAAATTGTAGCTGGTAACATGGTGATAATGTGGAGAACATTTTAAAATTGCCTGAGATCTTATACTTCAGGTCACTCTGACTGCACTGACTTCTTTTTTTAAAGCCCATCAGCAGTACACACAATGAGAAACAGTCATCAAACACTTTGAGGTCAGTGGGTCTCAGCGTTTATTCACCTGCACACTGATAATTACAAATCAACAATGGCTGTGTTCCATTAAGTGTCCCTGAAAGCCAGCATGTGCAATAAAACGAGCCTAGACCTGGCTCACTCAAATTAATCACAGCCTTCAAGTCAAAGTACAAATGTCACAAAAAATCATTTTAATGAAGGTAAAACAAAATATCATGTTATTAAATATGAATGAGTTGGAGTTTTTCAGCCCAGCAGGTTTTTGACTCTGGATGAATTTCAAAAGCATCCATCAGCTTCTGGAAGCTGTGGGAACTCTGTTCTTTCTGTCAGCTCTTGCCAACATTTTACAGTAGAGTGGATGTAATCTGCTGTTCCCCCGTTGGAAACTAGTAAACTATGTGGGCCTTTATAAGAGGATGGTCAAGGTGGCTGATGTAACCCATGAGATTTTGATATGTGAATTGGCAAATTGGATATGTCATGCCCACGGCCGTGAGATTATTTTAATGCTTGGTTGTGCTTTTAAATTATCTGATTTATGATTGACATAAAAACTCTTTCTGAAATGTGAATTAAACCTTCAGACAGCCAGCCAACCATCACTGAGGTTGGGCTAAACCACTGTAACATTGACACTGCAGCACGAGTACTCACACTTAGCCACTTCAAATTTTTACTAATTACTTTTACTAAATAAATGTAATTATTTACCTTTATGTTTCAGTTTCAGCTGCACACAACACACCTCCCTCAATAGTTTATCCATTTCTTCTGTCCGTTCAGACTGCTCTGGTAAATCCTAATTTGTTCTAAATTTTAACTTTAACTTTTGTGCAATTATGTCTAAAATTTGGTGGAACGGTAACATTGTCCTCAACTCCTCAGATGACCTCCCAGACGAGGCGGCGCACTTACCACTAAATCACCGAGCCCCCAGTATCATGTAGAAACAATACTAAATCAATTGTCCTGCAATAACTGCACAGTGAAAATATTAATATTTGGATTGTCCAAAATCAACAAATAACCTCACCATGCAACACATGTAGATATTCACTACATTAGGTACACCTGTTCAACTGCTCATTAACACTAATCAGACAATCACATGTGAGCAACTCAATGGATTGAGGTTTGTACACATGGTGAAGACGACCTGCTAACGTTCAAACTGAGCACCAGAATGAGGCAGAAAGGTGATTTAAGTGACTTTGAACGTGGCATGATTTTAGGTAGTAGATTAGCTGGTTTGAGTATTCCAGAAACTGCTGATCTATAAGGATTTTCTTGCACAAAAGAGAAAATATCCAGTGAGTGGCAGTTCTCTGGGTGAAAATGCCTTGTGGATGTAAGAGGCACAGGAGTGACCAGACTGCTTTGAGCTAGCAGGAAACAGTAATTCAAATTCAGTAAGTAATTATGATGAAGCTGAGGAGAGGCCAGCAAACTGATAGGAAGGCAACAGCGACTCAAATAACAACTGATTACAACTAAGGTAATGAATGCACAACCTGATGTTAGCAACATGTGCCCAATAAAGGGGCCAGTTAGTGAATATAAATGATGTAAACATGTTTTATAATCTAAAAACAGTCCCAGAGTCCCAGAGATGTGGATCTGATCACAATCAAATAAAATGTCAAAGTGTTATTTAAAAAAAAACAAAAAACAAAAACATAAATGCAAATATTTTTAGGCTAGGTGTAATTTGAACATTTACTACACATTCAGTTTTTCCCCAGATCCTAAAAAGACAATTTTTTCTACCTTTCACGATGTTCCAAATTTAGACATGAACAGCAATGATTGACAGGCCATATTTATTTATTATAAGATTATTTATTAAAAATTTTTTATTTTAAAACTTTATATCAGCGACTTTTACCACTGGTACTGCTTTAGCTCCTGATATATTCTCTGGGGTACAGATGCTGCAGGTTTTCAGTCACTGATCTTCTATCTTGTTATTGTTACTGACATTCTTGGGTACTTTTTCCTGATCTGTAGGCCGTCAGTATGGGTTGTCATGCTGAAGTTTCAGTGATGCCTCTTGGCTGTCACATGTTCCTGCTGCTTAGTGGGTTAACCTGAGACACATCTGATCACAGTTGCTGTCAAACAGTGGATTAAGCTACATGTCTACCTTTCTTTCTCTGTTTGTGGTTCCCAACAGAAAGACGACAGACAGTCCACTGTCACGGACTTCAGTTTCACATCACCAGAGACTAAGAAGCCGGAATACCAAAACAAAGCTAATGTGCATCAGTATGACACCACTTGGAAATTTGGCCAGTCAAAGAAATGAACTCGATGGATTCACTTGTGTCCACAGGGAATTTCTTTCTGAAGGGAGAAGTGAAAGGTTTTTAACAGCAGTCTGGCTACATATGGTGTAATTATCTTGCCTTCAACCGCTCTGCCGGGAGTGATAGATAAAAGATCCAACTATTATTGTACCCTCTCCTCATTTCCTTGAACTGCTTTTGATCTCTTCAGTACATTTGGCCAAGAAACACTCAATACTTGGTCGATTAATCAAGTTAAGCTCTGAATGTGAGTTCCTTGCTCTATTTTCTCCCCTCGATGAAAAAAAAAATCCAAGTTTTAGAAAGTGAAAGGGTTACTACACTCACTGAGGAGCCTTTAAGGAAGTAAGTAAAAGAGAAAATCAACCCGAAACACATCGGTTCTGTTAGACAGAAAAGAGAGTGGGTCATTTAACTTGTTTAGTGGCAGTTTTCTTGTCCTTACGGGTAACTGATATCGGTGGCATGAACTTTTATCAAGAGATTTAAGATAAGATAAGATAAGATAACCTTTATTAGTCCCCCACGTGGGAAATTTGTTTTGTCACAGCAGGAAGTGGACAGTGCAAAAGTTATGAGGCAAAAATTAGAATACATTTCTGATGTAAGTGTGCTTGTATTCTGAAGTGGCTTAATCTGTCTTAATCCCTCACAATCAGGACAGCAAGCTATGTTTCAGCCAGTACTGAATTGCTAAATGATGACAGAAAGGAAAATCCAGTGCACAAGTGAAAAAACACAGAACTCCAACCAAGTTGCGTTTGGTATATATTTTGTTTCACATGTTTAAAGAAATGAAGAAAAAAAACTCAGTTTGGCTCCTGAATGTTTTCACAGAGCTTTTCCATCCTCATCAAACACAAACAGCACATTTATAATCTACAACCGTACTGCTCATGAAAAGTAAAACAGTACTCCAGTGTAATCTAACAAGTCAACAAGTCAACTGAAGATGAAATCCAGTTTCAATTCAATTCAATTCAATTCAATAAAACTTTATTGACCCCGAAAGAAATTGGGTTAAGGCTGCCGACCTTTTGCCAGCGCCATCTTACCCTTCCGACCATACATACATTACACAACATTTTCATTTTTTATATAATGACCCAGTAGCTGTACTTTCAGTAAAACTTTACTCCCTTTGGAAGAGTCCAATTTTTGCTATTAGGGGAAATATCTTTAATGCTGGCTTTTGCCAAGTCTGGGACAGAAGATAACAATTTTTGCAGGGTAAAATTACAGTATACACTTACTGAACACAGCCAATTTATTAGGTACACCTGTTCAACTGCCCATTAATATAGCTAACCGGTCAGCCAATAACAGCAGGCAAATGCAGCAACAGTGTGGGCCACAACCAAAGTATGCAGAGCATCTCTGAATGGAGAACACACCAAACTTTGAGGTGAGCTACAGCAGCCCACAGCGGGTGCCACTGCTGTAAGAACAGGAAACTGAAGCTTCAATTGTTTTGAAGTCTCAAATTGTCATAGACAAAGTCATGAACATGTTTCTTTACACAGGATTTGGAAGGATGTTGCTTGAGAATAGCTCACTTAGGATCAGAATGAACAAAATGAGAATACGGAGCCTCGTATCAATGGTTCAAGATGCTGGTGATGTAACAGTGTGTGGGGTATTTTCTTGCCACACGGGGCCCATTAGTGCCAAGTGAGCATCATTAGTTGACCGTGTCCAACCCTTTATCAGCACATTGTGTGCATCTTCTGATGGCTGCTTCCAGCAGAATAATGTGCAATGTTAAATTATTCTAAACTGTTTTTTGAACATGACAGTGAGTTCACACTGTACTCAAATGGCCTCCACAGTCACCAGATCCCAATCCAATCGAGCACCTGATCTGGTGGAAACAGCCGTCCCCATCAAAGTCATTTCATTGCTACGCTTCTTTCTGGAGGTGTGTGCATTTGGAACTTCAAACTCAGGGCAAATACACTTCTGTGTCAACCAAAAGCCCATACAACACTTTTCAGTGGAAGAGCTCGAGTCAACTGTAAGTTAATGGGAACTTAACATTTGACGTAAACTACCTGAATTATTGAGCATGCCATTGGCACCTGTTTATAATTCATTTAACAGACATGAGTTTTTTGGGGGGCCAAGCTAACGCAGCTGCCACTTACCACCTGCCCCTTCTCTAATTTTTTTCGGGGGTGAGTTGATAACTGCTGCTACAACATTTTTGTAGTGTTTAAGTAGAGAATAGAAAATAAATAACTAGAAATGTAAAGTACTATCTATAACTAAATACATCTCTTATTTGCTGCAAGACATAAAAAAATATTCATGATAATGAGAAAATGACAGGAGCTGATGAATTGTGTCTACAGAATGCACTGCATGATGACAGTTTAACACACTGTGTAATATGATGAGTGATAATGACATTATAACTGCGCTAAAAATAAAATATAACAATGTTTAGCTTCTAAAATACACTGAAAAGACAAGATGAATGGCACTGATAACTTTAATTCATCGCTTCATTTATGTGAAGCTTCTTAGAGATTGGTTGCATCAAATAACATAAATGTGAAACACTGAATTAAAAGTGAAAATGCTCTGCAAACACAAACCCACCTTTGGTTATATAAAAGATTTAAAAAAATGTACTTACGCTATGTACTGCTCAGTTTTGTTATATTTCTTGGCAAGGTACTTGGCCGATGCTTTGCTGGGTATCTTGACAAAGGACAGCTCTTTACCATAACGTGTTAAGTTGCACGGCGTCTCACACACACAAAAGTCATTGTCTTTCTCGACAAGAAAGTCTGAAAAATGAAGTAGTCAGACAGAGCGAGAGAGAGAGAAGAAAGCCAGAGATAGAGATTTAAAGAGAGAAGACAAGGGGACAGACAGATTTATCGCCATCCCAGGATGACAAACAAAATATGAGTTGAATGAAAAGTGTCACAGGAATGTTGTGAAAAGATGCCGCGAGGAGCAACCCCACAGACCCTTATAAGAAATACAAAAGATATAAGCCACATCAAGACAGAGTCAGAGAGACAGTAACAGCCAGAGGCCAACACGTGAGACACGAGAGATTGCAAGTCAGTAAGAAAACAAGCAACAGACATGAAAGGACTGAAAGGTATCAGTTGATGGAAAGACAGGGGAGTGTGAAAAGGAGAGCCTCAGTGGCAGGCTTGAGGTTTACTCTTTGAGAATGGCTACTATCAGGCTGAAGGAACACTATTATCTGTTATCACCTCGGATCAGGAGTTCTGAACAGTGGGACATGCACACTGAAAAGTGCACATGCACACATACACACACGTGCATACACATACACATCATGCAAGCAGCATGCTGGTTTATCTCCTTACCCAAGGCAGGATCTGCACACTCCTTGTACTGCTCCGGGGTGCAGTATGGGGCATTTCCTAAGGATAGGCAAAAGAACACAATGTTCACAGTCTGACCAAAAATAAGGGGCGAGCAAGGGAAAAGGGGGTTTCGAGGAAGCACAAAAGGCAACGAGTCCAAGACTTATAATTAATGTTGTCTCAGAATTACTGCTGCCCTTATCACACCTGGATTTTTGCCATAAATTTTCAGCTCATCTTGTAATTGATTTCATTAACTTTTGCTGACTCTCATCACCACTTTCGGTCACCCCTTTCCCCATCCTTCTCTTTTTGGCAGTTGATCCATCTTTGTCAGTTTGTCAGGACAACACAAGGTAAGAAATGTCATTGCTGTAGAGGACATTATTACCCTGCTACAATTATTCACTGCTTTTTGGTCCAGAGATCGGAAAGATGAATAGCTGAAGAAGATGGGGAGGTTCCCTCTAGACTTCCAGTAATCAACTGAACAATCACTATAAGATAGAGACTAATCCTGATTATCACACAGGCAGATTGGCAGGCTATCTGTCTATATGCAAACACGGGTCTCTCGCTGATTGAAGAGAGGCATTAACAATAATTGGACAGGTAAGTGAGGGTTAACGGAGGCCAAAAGCAAAATGTTTCCTCAGTACCAAACTCCTTTTCAATTTGCCATCAGAGATGCCACACAGTGATTAAGTGTAGGCGGTAGACAGCAAATGCCAGCTGTAATCACTGTGCAAACAAAATGAAAACAGTTGAGTTTTCCGATCCACTGGAGTGTGAAAATATCTGATTTTCAGCGTTTGCTGGAAAAAGTGTTTTGCTCCTCAAAAATCATTTTTGTCACTGCAGCATCAAACGAAAGTGTTTCCTGTGAGATTAGAATAACAGACTCTCGAGCACTTCACATCTTTATAAGTAGATATAGATATATTGATATCCAACTCAATTCAATTCAGTTTTATTTATAAAGTGCCAAATCACAACAACAGTTGCCTCACGTCGCTTTATATTGTAAGGTAAAGACCCTACAATAATGCGAAAGCAGTAAGGTGCCCCCTCTGGTTCTTACCGGGCATATGAACCATCCTACAGTTACAGTTATCCACCAAGTATCGTGTTTCACAGTCGATCCTGCAGGCCGTGATGCTGTAACTGCTGAAAAAGTCAGAATCCATCGGTGTGGATTTGCAGTCGCCCCATGGTGGAGGCAGGTATGTCAGCTGAAAGAGAGGCACAAACACGTCACACATGGCGATTGCTATCTGCTGAACATCCCCAGAGACTTATCAATACCTTGACCATATTTGAAGTAAAAAAAATTCACAATGCGAATGTGACCTGTTTTTTATAAAAATAATAAAACTCACAGTTTATGTTCATGGAAGTGGCAACAGAGTAAAAAGTAAACAAAAAGAACAACTACGCAGTCATTTGCAATTTCATCATATGCACGTTATTGCACGCTTATCCTCAATGCAGTTTTTCATGCCATATTTTCTCTCAATATGCTAAACTTGTTACTCTGTCGATATGAAAGGTCTTTACACACTGCATTTGGAACAGAATGTGAATCTTGTTCTTACTCCAGATTCGTGGACATGTGAGTTGTGGTTATTGAGCGTAGGAGCATTAATCCTACGCTTCTCCTATTCCTAGTCTCCCTCTGTGCTTTCATTGTGCTGCCCACTCTTCATGCAGGAACTGAATAGTATCAGCTGTTTAGTAGAGCTGATATGTCGTAAGAGTTTCACTCTAAGCAGCGTTGCTGCAGAACCAAATACCATATGCCCAGTATTTGAATCCACAAATGTTAGCTATGTCGCCTCTCAGCAGTCTGTGCAGTACAGTAAAACATGCAATCCGGTGGATTCGTGCAGTGGAGGAACCCAAAGTTGATTTCATGCCAGTTTGCATGCATCTGCCAGCTACAGGTCCTGTTGTCTTCTCTACAGGGGGGTTTAAAGTAGTTAAGTGCATACTTATCATGATGTACCAGGGCTTGGGGAACGAGCATGTCGAGGAAGTTGAAAATTTGTCTTTGGCAAAAATGGGCTGCCAGCACAACTACACAACAACATGAGAGCTTACTCATGAAATTGGACATAATTGGAATGGCTGACATCAAAGAGCAAGAGGAGGCAAGAGTAAACTTGAAGGAGAGATGAACTATGACACTCTCCTTATCCCAGTGAACAAAGGAACCACTGTGAGAAAAAGGAACCAAAGGCATATACAGACAGCACAATGATAAAATTTTGCAGATGCCTGCATGCACTGAACAAAAAAATATAAGATATCACCAAACCAAAACCAACCCATCCCCCAAATGTGGCTTTCTGGACAAAATTATGGAGACATGGGGTATTCATATTAATGGGCATCTAAACCCCAAAACTTTATTTGATTTAAATTTGGAAGATCTGTCTTCAAGATCATGTTCTTGTACACCTCTGTACCCATTGTACACATCTTCAGTGCTGAAAGAGTACAGCACAGACTTCACACTGTAGCAGTCCTATCATGTCCTGTAGTAGCTATGCTTCTGCACTGTGCACTTGATCTTCTGTGCACTTGATCTTCTCCAGTGTGTCAAAACAGAAATCCTTCAACTTGATTTTCATTGTCTGCAGGTGGATGAAGACAGAACAAGGCAAATCTGGTAAACAGGGGCAGGGTAGGTGTTGAACAAAGATGTCGTTGCCGTGGCCACAAGACTCCTGTGTTTTCAGTATGCTCTGAGGTTGTTTCTCATGAATGTCATTCTTACATGCTTACTTCTGTACTTCTACTGTAAATTCTATACAGCAGAAGTAGCAGTATATTTTGACTATCTTACAGCTGGGCACAAATTTTCAGTAGATAATCACATGAATGTTGAAAAAATTCCTGTCACAATCCTTCACACAAACTTTGTCTCAGTTATAAACAGAAGTTGATATTTGCGCTTTTCTTTCATGGTGCAACTGCAGAGTTTATAGTATAAGCAGTTTGACTTTTTTTCCTCTTCTCAGTCCCCTCACCACTCAACCAGCTGCGGTAGATAACTTGCTGATAGTTGCAGTTTTCTCTCTAATAATGTAGGGTGCTTGCCTTATGATATAAAGCGCCTTGAGGTGACTGCTCTGGTGAACTGGCGCTATATAAATAAAATGATCTATCTTCTAAAAATATGGGGAACGCATGCACAGACGCTTTAGTCAAAATTGGAGATTAGACAGCTGACTGGAAGTTGATAGATGTTGCCGCTGTCTGTTGCGGTTATGAAACAAACTCAAAAGCAGACTTTCATAAACAGCTGGGAGCAAAACACCAACTCAAGCCGCAGCTAACATTTCGTCAGAACTTACATTACATACATTATTGCCGAGTTTTATAAGCCTGACATATATCAGAGTCTATTTTTACTATGGTATGGGCTTTAACATAAAGTTAAATTTATAACTTTTATAACTATTTTTTTCTAACATTTTAATTTGTAACTGTGTAACTGATTTGTAAAAGTGGGGGAACTAACGACATTGGGACTGGGTCTTTTGCGCTTAGTTACGTTTACGGACCTTTTGTTTGTTTTCACTATCCACTTCGCTCAATTTCTTATGTTCTTAAATGAACCGTGTAATTAAGGAGACTGGTGATGAAAGGTTGAAAACGCCTGATGCTGAGCTGCTGCCTTATTTGCAGAGACAGCCTATATGTTTGTATGCAAGGTGGTAGGCAAGAGAGACAGAGACTGAAAGCAGGTGTCTCATACAAAAACCTTCATCTTTCTATGACACTAAAGTTTCAGGCATTCTTCAAAAAAAAGAAAACAATCATACCTTGTAGTGAGTTGAGCGACTCATAGAGATAAAGGGAAGAGGTGGATAGTGAAAGTCTTATGTGTGCCTATATCAATAGAGCACGCATTCAGGCTTGTGCTGAATTGATACGCCAATCTTGTTGGACTTAGAAAGAGCTTTGCCACGGCTTATGTGGGAAAGTGACCAAGGTGTGCATTCTAAAATGAAGCTGACAATTTCAGATGTCTTCAGATTGCTGAAAAGGAGTGAATGTCTGAAAGGGCTATAGAAAGTAGAAGACAACTGAAAAATGATCAGCAGAGCGTGTCGGTCAACATATTCAGGAGACTAATAAATAGACTAAAAAAGATCTAATCATGGTCTCTGCTCCCCAGGAGTAACGGAAATAATTCAGTTACAAAAAATAACTGAGATAATAATTGAAATGTTAAATGAAAAATTACTTAAAACCAAGCATAAATGAATCCTGTGCACATTTGAGTTAGCTTTAGACTACTGTTTATGTAGACAAAATAAACTAAATTCCCTCCGGAGGAATGCATTTTGTAATTTGCATGTTATATCACAACATTTGCCGTACTCATTTACATTTCATCTGCCTTAACTAACAGAAGAGAAAAATGTGATGCGTTAAATGAGGTAGGAAACTAGGAAAAAGAAGGCAGTATGTGTTTCTGTCTCATCAGTTCAATCAGTGCATCACTGAGTGCTCACATGGCAATAAATTAAAGGCCACTGTTGTGATTTAGGGACCAGCAGCTAACAATCTGTAGTGGGGGGGGGCACGAGGCAGCCACGGGTATCACAAACTGGAGTTGGTTACTAATAACACCAGGAGATGTTCAGCATGCACATACAATAGTCATAAGTAGTCACATACAGTGCAGTGCACTCAAGTAAAATAGACAGCGCGAACAAAAACCTAACCTAATCAGGAGAATATAATCATTCTTCTGATTATTTTAACATCAAGGGTACTTCGCAAAGTCAAGCTAAACTTAAAAACCATCAGAGCATAATAAAATGTGATAATCGATAATGGGCGTATCTGCATTTATTCACAGTCACGTGGATTACATCCCTTAAAGGAGTTCTTTAACTTGAAAATGGGTCTTTTATGTACATTGGTCTGCTATTTTGATTTCCCTGCATTTTCAAAAGCTCTTTTCAGACTTCTCAAACCACTCTGTGGCAACATTATTTCCCTTTGGTTAAACTCAGCAAAAGCTGCTGTAAGTGTGGACAAAAGTAAATCTGGCGTAAAAGATTTCAGGATATTTTCGTGTGCTGAGCAAACCTCGAAGTGGAAAACAAATCACGAGAGAAAGAGGTACAAAGCAGGGGTGACTGTGGACAGAAAAGGAGGCGCATGGAGAAATGCTGGGAGAATTATTTTGTATTTTTTTTACTTTGCATGTAAAGTAGAAGGATATTGCAGATTATTCTGTTGCCAGATCACGGTGAGTGACAGCTTGGCTGGCTGAAAAGTCCCCAACAGCTTTACACTACAGGACTGCTGAAATAGGGAGATGAATGAATGGGAGCAAACTGCATTAGATTAATGAAGACTGAGCCTGCCAGACAATGGGATAAATAAATAGAGACTGAAAGAGGGGAGAAAGGGGGAATGGAGAGATTGTAGAATCATATTAAAGAGAGGAGAATTGTATTAAAGGAATTGTAATGACTGTTGGCGAGGAAAAAAGTAATGGAGCTAGTGGGGAAATAGAGAAAAACAAAGAAGGACACTCTCCTGCAGACGCGACGTTCACAGCATGCAAAATCCTGCTGCAGCCTGCCGACACTGGGACGCACTTAGTAGTAGTGTGGATGTGGAAGGACCGAGATCAAATCCGCTTCTTTCTCTCTCCATTTATTTTGCATGGTTCTGAACCATATTAGGGCCCAGACTATGTGATTTGTCTGACTGCATGCTTGCCATTGCACCCACAGAATTATTCACAGTTCAGAGGAATAACCTACATACACTTCATTTCACTCAACAAAACCGACTTTGACAAGCTGGGGGAAGTTTGTGTTCCTTAATATGTGTTAAGGCCCCGTGTGGGTAACTATTAGGACTGCGTGGAAAATCCAAGCCTTCCAAGAAGTGCACAGACTTGAACAGCCTGCTCAGGGCAGATCTTTCTGGCTAACAAATCAGCATTTCAAACTCCACCATATTAATGATGGAAAAATAAAAAGTAAGCATTCTTTGCTGATGAGTTTGTGGGAAACTTTGATCTGAAACATTCCCAGAAATGTTTTTTAATGTTCTTAAAAAACATTTAAAAAAGAGAATAGCAGTTTTCCTCCAGCACAGCATAGTGCTGACAGTGCATTGCTTACCTTGTGGGTCTTGTCATTTCAAATCCCTGTGGTCTGACAAAAACCTTGAGCAATACCAGAGCCATTTCCACTTCCCTGGATGCCTCAGTCACTGAGCCATGTGTGCAGTCTAACTTGGTGTCTGTTTTAATTTCTGTTCTTCCCAACAATCTAAATACTAGCAAGTTTTCAGTTCACAGAGTCTGAAATTCATTCATTTTAACCTCCCTCATTTGAAATTTAAGGTGTGAGTACAAGCTATTCAGTTCGTACTCACACCTTAAATTTCAAATGACTGACTGTCAGCAGGAAGTTCAGCAAAGCTATCAGTCTCACGAGTGACGAGGCAGACAATGGCAGAGCCATCAGCAGTGCCTGAGAGGCTGCTGAAAGATCCTCCTGATGGTTTTGAATCAAAGAGAGTGAGCAGTAAAGTGCGAGTGCTACTGGGATGTGGGCCAGGGCTTGATCAACCCTAAAGGAGTAACCAGGGCAATGCAGGGATGTCTGATGTGGAAAGACATTAAACATCTTCAGTGACTAAAGACACAGTACTGATGATGTGGGCCAGCATGCAAAATCCCATTACACTAGATAAGTTGATTTCATGCTGACTAAGACACTTACACCACCTCCTCTTTGGAGGCACCATAAGCCCAAGCAATTGTATAAATACTGATTACCCCAATTTTACACATCTAAAGCCCTTTTTTCAGTGATATGCAAGACTTGCAGCTCCCATCAGTCTGCTGAAGTGACATGGGTTAGTTTTAATGTTGGTGCTCTAATAGCTGCATTTGCAGAAACCCAAGCCAGTGACGAGAGAGTCACACATTACGAGTGTGGTATTTTTGATAACTGCAAAAGATTTCTTGCACCTGTGTCAGTGAGCATTGACTCTAGTGATGAGTAACTACACTTTGGAACATTTACTTCCCTCTTCCACTGCCACTAGGAGCAGGGTCTCTCTCCCTGTCACACTCTGTGTCTGTATGTTTGTGCCGCTGAGACAGCATCTCTTGCTTAAAGGCTGCAAGAGAGATCTGTCATCTGATGTAGAACTACTGAAGACACATTAAAAAGATTGTAAAAATATTGTAAAGCTTATTAGAAAGCTAAAATGCAGAAAGAGTCATTAAGATAAATTATTATTACGCACATGCTATTTCTATTTAGGGCATTTGTCAGTGAGCAGAGCAACTCAAGAAGACACTGGAAAGACCTATGCAGACATAATATACTACTGTAATTTTATGCAGTTGAAATATAAGCCATGCTGAAAATGATATGAAAATGTCACAAAGTCCTAATAATAAGGGCACAGCAACCTTTATTGAATTGAAATTTTATTTTCGTTTTAACTTAGTCATAAAAGCTCAAAAGTCAAGATCCTGTCAGATGAATGGAACGGAGTGTATGTGTGAAAGGGCATTGTTTTCTGGAAAACGTGTGAAAACATAAATTTGCTTACGTTATGTCAGGACTGAAAAGTGAAGTTTGACAATAAAATATGTCTGAGGCTGTTAGAAATAGGTGACCTCAGTCCTCTGCTACTCATTTCCGCCTCAAGGCCACATTCTGGTAGAAAGCACCTGAATCTCATCATGAGAGCTTCAAGCTGCATTGTGGGTAATAAAGGCACCATGTTTCATGCTATATGAATGAAGTTCTAAATCATAGAAGTACTCTTTGCAGGGAGACTAGCAGCCTTTCCTGTAGGAGTAATTACTACTCTAAATTGTTCAGGGATTTGAAAAGCAGAGTAATGTTTTCATCATTTTGAAAGTGCAACAGATTATTTTTCGCAGATAATGCCTCTTTATAACTGCAACAAATTATCCTCCAACATCTTGTTGACAAAACACGCTGCGATACAGTGTGTTATTGTAGTTTCAGCGTTCCACTTGTGCCATCTTTCCAAGGACGTACCCGTTGTTCCTGACAGGAGACAAACGTCTGAAACCCCGGCGCCACTCCGAAGCCCAGCTGGTCTATGAACGGCGGCTCATCTTGGGTGTGGATCTGAACTTTGATCCCTGCTTCAAACGATGTCTCATCTGTTGATAACAGAGATTACGACATTTACAATGAGGATGATGATTTGTATGCACAGACTGGCCTGCATGATCAAACCAGCAGCAATTGTTACTAATCAGATGGAGACAAAGCTCAGCTAACGAGTAAAAAAAAAAAGATGCTGAAAGTTAAAACAAAATGAGAAACGTAAAATTGTAGTCTCAGCTGAGCAGGAAAGAACTATCCCAGTGGAGTTATTAATTCGTAATTGCCATGATTTTCCATGGATGACAAATGCATTGTGGACTTTTAGGAGTTAATAATTGGAATGAGAAGTGACAGGATAAAGAAGGTGGACTTCCCAAATAGACCAGCTGATAACAATACACGCCCCGCAGGAGTCTTATGCACTACAAGGGCATACGAGAGTGAATGCATAAAATTAATAAATAATTGATGATGAGGATAAAACGAAAATCAATATAGCTGACAGCTTGTCTTGCTATAGCACTCTGCTGTATAGATTTTAAATGAACCAGATGGGCCTCTTTGATACTGAGATCAGGGAAACCTCACAGCGAGGTGGTGATTCAAACCTATACTTGTGCAAACATACTTTTGCAGAACCCTGGACCTGCTTATCGTGGCGATGGCAGGTTGGATTCAAGAGGTTTAGCTTCTTTGAGCGCCGGCTCGGGGATAAAGTAGGATGTCTGCTTCCTGCCGCCTTTTCTTTCCAGTTGTCACTTGCTATAATCGTCTAAGTGCTAGGCTTTCTCACTATTTTCAATTAAAGTGCTCTGAAATGTGGCTTGAATTGGCAAGAGAGCTTCGAAAAAGAGACACAGACTTTAACGGTTACACATTTCTTTTCTGATACACAAAGCCATTTTCTGCTGCTGCTGCAGCCTAGACGAATGCTTGAGGCTTAAAGCAGCATATATGTATATGTCATACCCAAGCTCCTGTTTGCATGAGTGCAAACAGGAGGACTTTAAGTAGTGGACATCTGTCTTCAGTACACAACTGAAGTAATAACAATTGGGTGAAAGTATGGAACAAAATGCGAGTATTATACGTTGCTTCATTATTGTTTCACTGCCTGTGCTTTCTTCTGAAATAATGCCAGGTATGTGATAATATGTCTCAGCACAGAAATCAATAACCAGGAGAGGCTCACAATAACCTTGTCAGTTTTTAGTATAAAAAATATATGTGTGTTTTCACAGCTGCCACCAGACACATTTTCAAATTACTTCAATTTATTTAACTTTTTCCTTATTAAAGCATATTGTTGCTCCCATTTCCTCCCACAGTCTGAAGATATGCAGATATAGTGAAGGTTAAGCTCCTAATTACCTCCATCAAAGATTTGTTTGACTGCTTCTTTATTTTTCTGTTTTTTAGTAGAATTACTTGAAAAATTATGGATGGACGTGCATGATGGATTTACTAGAAGTGGGACTTGGCCCAACTTAGGCGTGATCAACTTTAAGGGCTGATATTAATCCAGTTCTTGGTTAAATTATTTTTTTTAGAAGGATTCTTTACCATTGCCAAATCTGATATTCTGCATCATATCTTCACAATTACATATCAAATTTCAATGGATCTGGGTCCAGAAATTTAATTTATGTATAACGTAGAGGCAATTTCAGCCCTGTTTGAGCTTTGCAGTCTGACTGCTCTTGTTTACCTAGAGGTGTTAATATGAGTGTTCATATAAATTATACAGACACGTTCATACACGTATATTATCTGTAGATTGATATTGTATCCTGGGAGTAACCTTTCTCTAATTTATGAATTCTAGCATATGCTTCACCCCCTGACACCCTGAAAATGACAACTAAAGCGGTCCACAAAAACTGCTGGACACTTAAAAATATCACAATTTCACTGCAACAATAATTTTTAAATGTCAGTGGAAACTGTGTTTTCTATTCCCATTTCTCAAGCAAATTAAAATCAAGAGAAAAGAGAATTGCTTTGCTAAGATTTCAGTTTCAGTGGTTTTGTATTTAGTTTGTCACCCTTGTCTGGACATAAATGCTAGTCACCAATTAACTGTAGTAACAAAATTCTCTCCATTTTTCAGCCAGAAAAGCTTTCAAGGCTGACATTTTTCTCCATGACATCCCATAGGTGCTCTATGGGATTTAGGTCAGAGCTCTGGAGGGCTTTTCTCCTCTGATTTTCCCCTAGGTAAAATTATTCCATTGGGTAGCTGGTCATGCTGAAAGATCCACTCCAGTCCTTTTTTAACAAAGAAAAAAAGAAAAAAAGAAGAAAAAAGTCAAAACAAACAAAAAAGAAAAAACAAAATGATTTTTAAGAAGGTTTCTTACGTTTGCATCCGTGTTCCCCTGTACGCCTGATACACCCTGATTTTATCAAAGCAAGTTCAACTACACCTGTAAAATAATACACTTACATCCACTTTATCTTTTGCGCATTTTCTTAAACTAGTTTAATCCTACCTGTCTTATTGTTCAGTCACTCGCCCGCTTTACTTTTACTCACTAATCCTACGGCCTGTGAACTCAGGTGTATCTGATGATTCTTTTTGATCTCTAAAGCTGCTGTTTCTTTGTTACATGGTTCGATCAGCTGCTACACATTCTCTCCTTCTGGTACATTCCCTTTAAAAACATTTTTTTGACAATATACCAACTGTGAAGATTGAGTTTGTGCTGCTCTGCTGGCGTTCTTTGCGCAGACGACACTTGACCTGTTCTCCCTCCTTCTCCCGTTTCTCTCTCGTCTTTGCAGTGGACATGGGCCGCTAAGTTCAATAAATCAGAATTAGCTATTTCCACATTACTTAGGAGGCATGCTCATGGATTCGGATCTGATTTATTTATTTTAGTAAAGAACACTGGCTTTAAAGTTGTGGTAAACTGTTTGGTTCAAACACCAGTGTGTCTAACATTTTATGGAATAATCATATGAAAGACATGGAGGGTGTTGTAGCTTTAATATCCATAAACCTTTTGATGCCACTCCACACATAAATGACTGTTATCCATAATTCCCATGATTCTGGGAGGTTTTTCACTGGTAGTTAGACACTAGCTTTTGTTCAACTTATATTTATATATTTTTTATACAGTTTGCTCCATAATGTGTGGGACAAACATGGTTTTGCTTCTCACCACCGCAATAGATTGTAAATCAAACAATCAATATGTGATCGAAGTGCAGACTTTCAGGTTTTTTCAGGTGATTTTACAAAATATTTGGCTACAAATATATAGTAATTACAACCATTTCTATACACAGGTCCCCATTTTCAGAGGTTCAAATTTAATTGGCCAATTGACAAGGGAGCATCCAGGTGACGCCTTCTCCCATGCTATTATATGACAAATAAAGCAGACATAATATTTGACGTTCATTTAAAAGTGTTTAATTGTATGTTATAGCTTTTCACTGTAATTTTACTGTGATTTTAAAATATGAGGCCCAAAGAGGACATCATTAGACCAAAAAATGCAAATAAACCTAACAGTGAGAGACAACAAAAACTTTAACAGTGGCCAAATCCACAATCTGGTGCACTGTTAAATAGAATAAATGCTCTGACCAGCTCAACACCAAAAGGCCCGAAAGACCACAGAAGACAGCTAAAGTGCACAAATTATTTCCACTTTTAAGAAAAACAACTTCACGACATCTAATCAAGTCAAGAACACTTTTGCGTCAGCAGGTGTATCACTTCATGACGCCTTCATGAATAGAAATACAATATAAAAATGTGCAAACCACTGATTACACTCAAGATCAAGATTAGACTGCCAAAAAAAGACATAAAGGAGCTTCGACAGCTCTGTAGAAGTGATGTCGAAGCTTCTACAGAAACTGTAGAAACTACAGTTAACTTGTACCAGAACCAGAAACAACTCATGATCCAAAGCATACCGCATCATCTGTCTAACGTGTTGGTATAACTTCCAGTGGAACCAGGCCACTAGTGTTTATTGACAATGTGACTTTTGATTGTAATAGCAGCACGAATTCTAAAGTGTACAGGGCTATACTTTCTGTTGAGGTTCAGCCAAATGCTGCAAAACTGATCAGACGGTGGTTCATGGTGCAAATGGATGACCCCAAGCAACCCAAGAGTTTCTTATAGTAAAGAAATGAGATACTGTTCAACGGTAAAGTCAGCCACCTGATCTCAACACAACAGAGCGTGCTTTTCCATTATTAAATACAAAACTGAATGAAGAAACAACAAGCACAAACAAGCAGCAACTGAATGTTGTTTGCAGCAAAGGTCTGGTGGAGCAACTCAAGGGAGGAAACACAACATTTGGAGATGTCCATGAGTTCTACACTTCAGGCTGCAAACTTTCATCCAAATATTAACAAAGACTCTTTATATTTAAAATTGTAATGCGCTAATTTTGAACTGCTGAAGTATTAACATTAGGCATTGTGTATAAAAATCATTCTTGAACGGTTCATGCAAAATTTCTTTTCTCAAATAAAAGCATATAAAGTCAGCTGTGACGTTGTAACAAGGCAAAACCAGATACATTTCTTTGTCCCAAAAATTAACATCTTGATGTATTTGTTAATATTCATAATTTAGCTGTGTGAAAAAATCATGTGAATACTAATCATTATGCACAAACCCTTTGTTCATTCCATTGGTATAAAGTTGTAATTGTGAATAATCACCCATGCATTTCTCACAATAAATGTAATAGAGCTGTTGGTTCAATCTCTCATTCTTTTGTTTTAAGAAGTCTTGGGAAAGTTAATCCCACAGATCTTTCTTGCAGCAGAGAGCTCGACCTGTAGAAAACGCACAGTGGTATTATTGTTGACTGTATTTCACTTAGTTAGGGCCTGCTTTTGTGCATGCTGGGTTACTATTCAGTGCTTACTGGAGCACTTAATGAAATTGAGCCATCATATTTATGTTTCCTGTACTCTCCCTAGTCAAAATATCTGCCAAGATCTACTGGGCAGACCAGCACCTGGATTTTCCTCCACTGATGAATGTGTGTCTGAAATGAGAAGCCAAAATTGTAAAGCATTTTATTCGCTAAGGTAGAAAATCACTATGTACGTGAAGACGTTTTAGAGGTAAATTCTGCCTGTAATGCAGCTGTTCTGTCTTTTTCCTTCCGGTCCTGCATTGCTGAACACCTGAGAGGTGTATTTCTATTATGTAGAAACGCTCAAACACCCAGCAAATATGAAGTGAATAAAGAGCATATTTTAAACTATCAGCTGCACCTACTTATTATAATACCTATTTTGCCAAGCTTAAATCTTTTTTTGTTTATCAAGTAGAATGAAAGTATTGTTAGTGACCTATCTCACCTTATTATCTTCATTTAGTGGTTTGCAAGAGTGTCAAAAAAATCTTAGCTTAACATTTTTATTTACAGCTGCGAGGTATTTCCCTGCAAAAGAAAAACTTTCTCTATAGTAAAGTCTGCAAGGTAACTACAGATGACTTTTTTTCAACCCCCAAATCTGCATTACAGGATGCACATCATATCACTCATCTTTACTTGTGTCTGTAAGTGTGAAATAGTAGATTTTAAGGAACATAAATCCTTTGCCCCGGTGTGTGTTGGGAAGCTTTCCCAAACACCTGCTCCTGTTACTTCATTGCCCAGGGCATTTTTTGCCTGCCTTGTTTGCTGTTTTTGTCAACAACAGTTAGCATAAAGGTCCCTCGGTCTTCCACAGCATTTGTTGACTATATTTCCCAACCAATATATTTAACTCTAAAAAAACAAGCAAGCAGACAGCGTTAGATTCCTCACTGATTATTGATTTTGCCTACAACAAAGTTTTGACCTCATTCTACATCTAACAAATGGGTATAACTCAATCAACTGCCAATTCATATCATTTGGAAATTAAGTTGAATTAAATTAAAAAATTAAATAATTACAAAAACAAAGAATTTGGATTACCAGCTAAACACTATGTTAAAAATAATGAAAGACTAACAGAATATTCCAAAGAATTAAAAGCATGTAGAGTGTATAATATTAAAGTGCATACCGTATTTTCACGACCATAAGACGCACTGTGCTAAAAGGCGCAGTCTCAGTTATGTGTGCCATTACTGTATTTAACACACACATAAGGCGCACTGGATCATAGGGCGCATACAAGTACCGTATGCGTATTTAAAAATAAAGCGGGAGCAAACCTGAGTTCGGTACCTTACTCACATTTTTATTACCAGTAATCGTCATCATCAACAACACACAAGCATACAAGTGTGCGTATTTAAAAATAAAGCAGGAGCAAAACAAAGTTTGGTACTCACATTTTTATCATCAATCAAACCCATCGAAGTCCTCATCCTCTGGGTCTGAATTGAACAGCTGCGCTAAATCTCCATCAAACATGCCAAGTTCACTTTCTTCACTGTCAGAGTCACTTTCCGTGCCGTGCGGCTCCTCGGAAATGATGCCGGCTTTTGCGAAAGCTCGAACAACAGTGCCAGCAGACATGTTAGCCCAAGCATCTACAATCCATTGGCAAATTGTGGTGTAACTCGCCGGGCGCTGCCTTCCACTCTTGGTGAAACTGTGGTCTCCATCCGTCATCCATCGCTGGATGTGTTTGTCGCCGATGTGTTTGCTGCAGTAGGAGCGGAAGATGGCCAGCTTTTCCTTATAATCCGCTGGAAGTTGCTGCGCTACCGTAGTCCTGGTCCGGATGGAAAAATGGCACCGTTTCATAAAAAGTGAAAGTGAAACTGCTTTTAGCCGAATGGTGACCGTCGAAACGCTTCTCCCGCTCGTTCTTTGCTCGATGATCCACCGCTCGAGTCTTTCCTCCAACTCGGGCCACCTCGCCTTATGTCCGCGGAAACTCAACTGCGTTTTCTTGACCTGCCGGAGCTTGTTTTCTAGTTTCCTCCATTTGCGAACCATCGATTCGTTAATCTTAAATTCTCTCGCCGCTGCTCGATTTCCATGTTCCTCCGCGTAGCTGATGGCCTTCAGTTTAAACTGTGCTTCGTAAGCGTGTCTCTTTGCCACTTTCAGGGTTGTTAAAACAACGATGTCCTGCATAACGCACATACCTGTTCTTTTATACAGGTATGTGCGATAAAGTCAACGCACACACTTCACCCTTTAGCGTTCTCATGGTGTTCTCTACTACGTCCTCCTTACAACACACAGGGCGCACTGCGCTATAGGGCGCGCCGTACTTTTTGAAGAAAATCTAAGACTTTTAAGTGCGCCTTATGGTTGTGAAAATACGGTAATTATTACATCCTTTGATTTTCAGCACGCCTCTCGGAAAAGTCTTCAATTATTCAATAATCTTACATGAAAAGCATTTAATATTAATACAATTAAATCAGGACAGATCATGGCGTACTGCTCTAAGTTTCATGTTTAATAATGATCATGAGTATTGTGTTTCTGTGACCGCACTGGACTGTTCCTTTACGGTCGTTTCCCAGTGCCTATAAGATAATGATGCAAACACACAGCAGACTATGCTGGTGAATTAAAATCAGTTTTGCTTCACCTGAAGCAGCACTGAGGAGACGCAACTCTTCTGATGACGGCTCGACCCCGAATGGGAGAGCCCTCAGCCTTAATCGGTTATGTATAAGTCAAGTGCTTGTCTGATTCATGTGGGCTGACTATATGACTATTCATTCGGTTATATCACAATAAAACTTCCTGATCAGTATTCATCTGTCCTTATTCTGTATCTGGGAAACAGTGCGTCAATGCATTGCAGGTTCATCACTCATTATTAATCAAGATGTGTAAAACATTTCTAAAAGCGAATCAGAGGTTTTTGTTGTATGGATTTCTTAGATACACACCTGGATAAAATCCCTTTGCTAAATGTATTTTATTTGTCACAGTTACATATAGAAGACTTAGAGGGAATGCAATACAGCCTAGTCAAATCTTTACCTTAGAGGTTGGAAGAGAATCTCTGTGATAGTTATTTCCCCCCCTCTGGTGTTTCTCAGAGCACCGGCATTGAAAATAACTTTCTGTTTTCAGGTGATTCTGATGAATCTGTCTTTTTTAAATTAAAGTTCCCCTAACAGTGGTACAAGGTGAGAGCTTCAAAACTGGGGATAAAATGTCCTCAAGGTGAGCTTACCAGTCTCTCCCCAGACAGGCAAGTATTCATCCTGCTGGATATCCAACATCAGCTCCAGGCCATTGCCCATCCCACCCTTCGTCGTCACCTGCAGCGGTTTTCCATCTTTGCCTGAATTAAATGTGTAGCATTTCCCATAGCGCGTGAATATCTGAAATACACAGAGAAACAGAGTTTAGTTTTTATTATAAATAGCCACAAACCTTCAACCTTACACTCATTTCTGACCATGAAATAAAATCAGATTTTTCAGCTGCATGAATTTATTCTCGAGAAGTTGAAGCAAAGGTAACAGCACACGGGATTGTTTCAAAAGCAGCTGAAATGCACCTACTGCAGCCTGTTTTTGTTAGGCTGTCAGCTGCAGACCTCAGAGGTCTAAGTGCTGAGATGCTGTTGACAAAATGAGCCCTCGTCGCTCTCAGTACTGCATGATACAGTGTGTGCTCAAGTAAATATGACATGACTTATTTCAGAATGGGATAGTGTTGGCCTGAAAAGTCTCTCAGGCCAATGTACCAAAGTAAATCTTGCAAAAGGAAATAAAGATATTTTATATGTTGTTTTAGATAAAACAACAATTTCTTAGTGATGTGCGATACCACTGATTTCCTTTCCGATTCGATACCAAGTAAAATTCTGGGTGGTATCGACAATACTGATCCAATACCGATACTTTGTACAAAAAACTTATTTTATTTATTGTATCTTTTATTGTACTTCAAATTATAGCATCATAATGATTACTATGTTGTTATCACTTAATAATGCAGAATTCATCATATAGAAATATATTTGAACACCTTGCCTGCCTGCAGCACTAAGGACTCTGTGAGAGACGTCTGTCTCGCCCTAGCAGCACCTATCCCTGTCCCTCTTCAGTTTGCCTTCAAAGGCGGAAGAGGAAGTAGTTCCTTCCAATGTAGACAATCCGAATGATATAGTTTCTTTCCACTGTGTTCTTGTTAATGATAAACTTCAAATTCACCCTAAATTACTAAAATATCGATATTTTAATGTGAGAATCGATTCTAGAGCATAAATGACTGGTATCGGAGGAATCGATATTTCAGTATCGATCCGCACATCACTACAATTTCTGTTATTTTAAAATTTAGAACAGTTTTATTATTCTGTTGGTTTTAACGAATTGAAAAGGTTAGTTGACTCAAATTTTCTGGTTAATGGAAAATTAAACATTTACAGCCAGCCAGTCAAAAAAGATGGATATAGTAAATGGTAAATGGCCTGTATTTATATAGCGCTTTACTAGTCCCCATGGACCCCAAAGCGCTTTACACAACCAGTCATCCACCCATTCACACACACATTCACACACTGGTGACGGCAAGCTACATTGTAGCCACAGCCACCCTGGGGTGCACTGACAGAGGCGAGGCTGCCGGACACTGGCGCCACCGGGCCCTCTGACCACCACCAGTAGGCAACGGGTGAAGTGTCTCGCCCAAGGACACAACGACCGAGACTGTCCGAGCTGGGGCTCGAACCAGCAACCAGCAACCTTCCGATTACAAGGCGAACTCCCAACTCTTGAGCCACGATCACCCCACGATCATAGTCTCTAAGTGTGTGCTTTAAACTTTTTTTTACTAATAGGCAGCAAGAGGTTTGCCAAAAAGTCCCATAAGGACGGTTAGGAAGGTAGACTTTATGTTGTGTTTCACCTGAAGCAAGTTGGAGTTTTCAATTGGAATGCCCCTTCAAGATGGATTTCCTACTAGGAAAGTCAGAGAAGCCCCACCAACTACAACTTTTCTATCCAAGATGGCAGCAGTGAATGTAAACAGTAGCAAAACTGTAACACTTTTCTTCTGTACTGCCAGTGTTCTGTATTTGTGACTGAAATAAGCCATACACAGAGCACTGACTGCACTCTATCTGTTGTGGCCATTTTTGTTGAATGTTTATAAAATGCAATTTGTATTCATTTTTGTTTTTTCTTTAAAGGTGTAAGAATATACTGACCTAGTTTTGTTATGTAAATTTGTAATTAATTTTATTGGAGAAGCTTTTGGAAAGTGATTGGTTTATTAGCTTATGGACCCTCCCATTAATCAAGAGATTAAGAGCACCCTGGATGGGTGTGGTAGAGAGGTTTTTGTTTTTTGTTTGCCAAATGTCAGATGGGAAGACGGGAGGGTTAGAAAATGATTTTTTGACCACTTCTGAAGTTGTTAAAGCAAATTAAGTTAACTTTCGTTTAATTTTAAGTTTTAAGAAGTTAGTTGGCTGATTTCTGTTTATAATTTTCCACGAAATAAATGGCATATGATTTTTAAACAATGGAGTCAGAAGTGCGTTCTAAAACAAACCTCCCGTTGCCACCCACGGCCTTTTCTTGGACTTTTTTGGTGTTTGGAACGTAAAAGGCCGCGACACTATCAGCGAATGTGCTGCAGCAGTGTTTTTGACTGCAAGCAAAACAAAAAAACAGGCGATCTGCTGCATTGCTAGGAATAGATGAATAGATCTACTATCTTAGGGAGCAAAGCAATTTTTTTCCCTTGCTTTTCTGACCACTTTGACTGGAATGCATTCAACCTGGGAGTCGTGCCACCCTCCAAATCACAGATCCCTTGGTTAAAGGAACACTGGGTTAGGATCATTGTGACTGACAAGTCTTTAACATTGTTCCTCAGATTCTCAGTCAAGACCACCACTCACTTGTCACCTGAAGATGGTGATGGCTGACGTGCTCAGCACAAGGCTTGAAATAATATGTATAAAATATATACATATAGCAGAGTTATTTGTCATAGTCCAAAATGTAAATATATTCATTTGACAAAGAGTTTTTGAAAAGCTAGATTCAGAATATATATGTTTTTGTTTGCAATTGAATGAAAAATACAGTCTTTTTCCCCCTGAATGGATTAAAAGCATCTAAAAAAAAAAAAGACATCTAGCAAACTCTTCTCTGCCACACAAAGAGATACAACACAGAGTTCAATGAACATGATGCAGTCAAAACAAACTACTTGCCCTCAAACTACATGCGAAGAGTTGATCCATGCAGTCGCATCTATTTAAAGAGGCACTATTGCGTGCAGCAATGAACTGCGACCTACTGGCAAAGACAAGACGGCTAGTGAACTAATGGATGTGTAATCCAATCATAAACATTAGGAAATGGAAAGCCATGGCTAGGATCCAAAATACAATCATCCCTTACTTTGTTGTCAAGCAACATGATTTTGAGCCTTGTATTTTTATTTTTTATTCCTATTTATTCTATTTATCCCCTTTGTATATTTTATTTATATTTGTCTCTGTATTTATATATGTGTGTGTGTGTGTGTGTGTGTGTGTGTGTGTATATATATATATATATATATATATATATATATATAACAATTCTGTAACTGTAACTTCGGTCGTTGCTGTGCTTTTTGGAAGTCGAATTTCCCAGAGGAACCCACCCGAGGGATTAATAAAGTTCTATCTTATCTTATCTTATCTTATCTTATCTTATCTTATCAAAGCATGCTAGCTCTCAATTAAGTTCCTGTTAACCTTCAACATTTTGACATTCAAATGAGGAAGCAGTAGCAGCAAGGAAGGGAGGAGGTTTGGAGTCAAGTAATAAGAAGTGCGGAGAAATAATGAATGAAATAAATCTCTTTCCTTTGTCCTCGACTCTGGGCCCAAACACAGTTCTCACGGAAAACAGTCGAGATAAGAATTCAGTGTCAGGAAAAAGAGAATTTGCACATTTTTTCATACTGAGGCTGCTTAAAAGTGTTGCTGCTTCCTTTCTTCTGAATGTATTGCATGGATCTTGGGAACAAATAAGAAAGCGTTCATTATATGGTGACGTGTGACTCAGACATTAGTGCTTCATGACAGATTATTCATATGTCACAAACACCAGATGCAGAGAGCTGAAAAGATTGGCGCCATGTCTCAAAGAGGAAAAGTTAGTGTAATGTAAATCCTGTTCACTGAAGTGTGTGGAATAAATGGAGCACAATCCACAATGGATTACCCCCTATGGGGTGGTTATATAGGCGCTTTTAAAACACAAAGTGATGAAATGTAATAAAAGGCCTTCTGATGGTCGGACACAATATGAGATGTGACCTTTCAAGTGCATAAGTGGAAAAACTTAGTGAAAAGCAGAGCTCCTAACCGCTTTCTATGTGCTGAGACTCAGAAGCAGGATATCAATAAAATGCCCTAGAAATCCATCTTAGTCCTGGAGATGCCGCTGACCAAAATCTGATTACTATTTATCTTTTGACATGGAAAAGGCAGAAAACGCCTACTGAAAATATCTGAGTAAAACAATAGGTAAAAGGAAAAAAGCAGAAAAAAAAGAAATGCTTGCTTTATTATTGATAGAATTTAACTAACAGACCTGTCTACATCTAAACAAGCTACTGATTTGTTAGCACAATTTCTAAGTTTTCCCATTAAATCTCAATATGACTTTTTCTACTCTCTTCAGGAGACAAGTTTGAACAAAAGACGAGGCACTGCTGCTCCCCCTGAACAGAGAAAAGCATTTGGCAGATAGACATCAACAAAACAGCGATAAGATTGTTCCAATTGCAAGCACATTTATTTGTCATTGTGCATGTGCCCAAGCGTGCACACATATCTGCACGAGAATATGAATGACTACGCTCAAATTAGTGTGTACAGTATTTTCGTGTACTGTGCAGCCACCCCTTCTCACCATCTGTGTGTATGTGTTGGTAATGTGGTGACTGACTACAGGAGGCCTGTAGTCAGAGTTGCTGTGGTAACCAGGAGATTGTGCTCGCTGCTTTGAGTGAAGAGCAGCAGAAGTGGGTGCCAGTGATGACCTTGGGGAGTCAGGATCTTCATTGTGTTTCGTTTGAGCTGATGTTTGAGCTTAGTCAGAACATGCTTCTTCATGTCTGTCTCTCGCGCCTTGGTTTTTGCGTTAAGATTTCTCAAATGCGTCCTTACCGTTTAGCACGAGCTTCTTAATATTCTGGAAAAGTGCAACCTTTATACCTGAGGCAGAAACAAAATCCTGTTAATAATATTTAAAGATAAGCTTTAAATGAATTAATTCTAGATGTAGCGCAGGGATAAAGCTGGTAATTAATGACCCTGCACAGTGATCGTGAATGTTTGAAACTTGTTGCCGTTAACCTTTAT